AGAAAGAGAAAAAAGAGAGAGAAGAGAGAGAGAGAGAGAGAGAGAGAGAGAGAGAGAGGGAGAGACATGATAAAAAAATTACGATATATATATACTTACACTGGCGACTTCTCCGAAGCGAAAAGTCAACGTAGCAAGACACTTCGGAGGATCCGTAGGACTCGAAATTCTGACCGTTCCATCTGTCGAGCTAGTGATCAGACACCCGCGCGTCTGATGCACTCCCGTTATTCCTTTCTTGTGCCCAGTGACATACGACTTGACTATTGCGAAGTCGTTCTTCGGATTCAGCACGTGCAATTCCGCGGCACTATCGCCGACGTAGACCCAATCACGGTGCATGTTCATACACATGGGGAATGCATTCTTCGAGATGTTAACGCATCTAAGCATTTGTCTAGCTCTCTGATCCCAAATGGTCACTTTCTTGTCCTCGCTGGCGGACAGGATATACGACGAATTCATAGCCAACTTGAGCACGGCTCTGGAATGCGGATGATACTCCGCGATCGGCTTGTGTCCTAATCTCGAGTCAAAGATGAACACGGTGCAGCTGTATGAGCCGGCCGCAAAGACCTCCTGTTCCGCGCACGACGACACACACAGCAGCGCACCCGTACTTCCTCTGAAAATTGCGCGGAAAAAACGATTATTCTCTAGAGCTGAAAGTCCCAAGTGTTCTTCGCTCATTCATTTGAAACAGCGAAATTGCCCCGTTATCACATACGTTTTGTAGGTCTTCAGGTGAACCAGACCGGTGTTGGTGAGCAACCACGACTTGATGCTTTGGTCCCAACTGCAACTGTAAATCGTGTTGTCTATCGCTGTGAGATCCCAAATCCATCCGTTATGCGCCTGCTCTATGCAAGCAGCCTTCTCGCGCTCGTTCTCTTGCGTAGGTAGCTTCCAATAAACCAGGGAGCGATCCCTCGCACCAGATATACAAGTTGTTCCACCCTGTGCATTAGAATGACATTATTGTTGTTTCTGGAAAAAGATGAGAAACTGAAGTACTCAGACAATGTTTACTACCTACGTGCATCAACAATAGAGCATCTATAGTACTGTACTGTACATCTGTAAGCAACAATTTTTCCATGGAATCTTGATGTTTCCATAATTTTCTTTGCTTCTCGAGTGCAACACATGCCAATCTCCAAAATAGATTGTTATCCTTTGCTGAAATTATATATAACCCCTTTGTGTTAAAGAAACACAAGAATATTCATGGCATATATCCTTACAACTCAAGTAAAAAATTCATATAAGGAAGACTCACACTGCATATTTAATTTTAATTGCAAGTACTTGACACTACTTTTACAAGAGCACAAAATTAAGATGAAATATTTTATTAAGAGACAGTTATAGAGATATAAAGATTCAAGCTTATTCAGTTGTTGCAATGAACAGAGCTGCTCAAACACATTCTATTATATCTTTTGAGTTATTTCACAGTAGTTTTCTCTTAAATAAATGAGATAATTGAGCATAAATTCTCTCTCTCTTTCTCTCTATCTTGTTTTAATTTATTATATGGGAGACAATTGTTTCAGCTTACACTGGCAAGTTTGAACAGCGCTGACGCAGAGTAGTAAGGTGGTGTTTGAGACTTATTTACAAAATGAGTGATCGTGCAAGGTGTAAGGTGCTATCAATTTGAGCTAACCGAGACGCAGAACTGGGTAGCTAGCATCCGTCCACATACGGTTAACTCGTGCCTTCCACAATGAGTCATCTCTTAAAATCAGGTAAAACTGTTTGCATACTGGGCTCAAAGTGTATGCTAGAGTCGACGCCTCTAGGAAGGAGCATATGTGCAAGAATATCTGAAACGCGGCGTAAATAAGTTAAACATACTTAAATAAACAGATATACAACAAAATAACACTTGAAGGAGAAAGGAAGACAAAGAGGCATCGCCGTTCATTGACATTTTAATCGCACTCGCAGACGACTAACGGGACGAAATGACCGTGGCGACAAAATGTACTTCGTGAGTGTGTATCTGTGTGACAGAGGAGAATTGCTGTTTCTCGAGGCAAACCTCAATCGGAAGATCCAACAGTGATACTTGTGCATCTGTTTTGCTGTCGTGCGCGCAGCTCGCGTTCTCGTCGCACATTTTTCTTCGCACAGTGCGTCGTCGAATCTGAGAATTCTCATTCGATCTGCTCGAAGCTGACGCACCGAAACTGACGAGACACAGACCGCCGTGGTGCTGCGAGACACCGCTGTTTATCGTGCCGATCAATTGTATTTATTAAACGGTGACAGGATTACCGCCGATCGCCTTATACAGTTTAGTGTGCAGCAGGGACGCTTTTTCTCGTGCATGCACGACAGCGATAGTAAATCCAGTAACGTACATAGCGTATGTCATGAGGCGCGAAAGTTTGACAGGCATCTTTTTTCCTTTTCGTGTTTAGTGGCGTCAGCCACCGTGTCTCGAGGATACTTGTGGTTATTCGACACTCTCTTCACTTTTTCTTTGCTCCCATCTTTCTACTTAATCTCTGTCCCACTTTTTTCCCTTCTTTTTTCTAAAATAAATATTTATGATTTCAAATTACTATTCTCAAATGTTCTTTGGAAATAATTCCAAGTATTTTTCAAAAAAATGACAGGTCACGCTCGAACATGTCGCGGCAGTTAAACCCGAAGTTACTGTCAGGCCGAATAAGGTTAGGTAAGCAAATAAGTAAATATCAAAATACACTAGTAAATATTTGGATTATTTTTGTTTGCTGTAATATCAGTAAAGACATTTGAAAAAAGCCATTGGAAAACAGTCACAGGCATTCGAGACACGTATAGATAATTTTTAGAAATGCTAAACGGAGGCCCTTTTGGACACCCTCTTTCTCACTAATTTGATGCTTCATTGCGACCGCATAGAAAACGCATGCGCCCAAAAAAGAGTCCTGCTAGCACCATTGTTTCGATTGCAGTATAACTGTGAATTTAATCGACACGATTTTTACAAGGTATCTTGCAAAAGACGCAAAGGATGTTTTAATCTCTGAAAAAATACTTATTAAACTTAGTGTAATATATTATTGAATTCTAAATGTAACATATTTTGGTTGCAAAAGTTTCAGTAAATGAAAAAACCACAGACTATATGTAACATATTTTATTTAAAAACAATTATAATGCTCTATGTATTTCTTTAAATTATCTTAATCTTAAATAACATTAATTGTTCTGTCCAGAATATATTAAGATATATACATATCTACATAAAAATATCTACATTAAAAATATATGTTTTCTTTAACAGATCTTTTACTGCCTTGCGATAATTATATTGAAATATTTATGATTTATACTGTTTGCATATAATTATGTTTATATACATGCATTATTCATTAAATATTTCTTGTTTGTACGGATGTAAAAACCTCTATAAAAATTATAAGTACACTCTTCGTTGGAATATTTTTGGTTTTATCCTGTTATTAGATATACATGTCTACATAAAATTTCTAAATGCACATGTATATCATAAAACTGTGCAATATTTTTCAACTTGTTTGATTAGTTCAATCAAGTGAAGTGTTACAATCAAGTAAAATATTAAATATGAAAAGAATGTATGCTATGTTACATACTGATATTTTTCGTACAAAATATCAAAATACTCTTTCGCTCTAAATTTATATATATTTCTTTTTTCAACGTGGAAAGCATACTTGCATATTTGCAAATATTTCTTTTTTCAATTAGAAAGCATACATATCTTATTAGCTTAGTTAAAAAGTCAACATCATTTATCTATATTTTTGTGTTCATACAGACATATCTTATCTCCTTTTTGAAGTATCATCGTTTGTTTATTTTTGTCAGTACAATTTGTTCACGTATCAAAACTTCACAAATGTAAAGTTGAAAATTTAAGTCAAACGCGCCGAGCGAAACTGATTATACTATAAGATTAAAAATAACGATGCATTTTGTGTGCTCTCTAACGTTTTGTATCACTGCTAATGTCTCGGTAGCATGTCTTTTAAATCTTCATTGACAAAAATAGAATGCGACAGAAACGTTATCGAAAGTAAAGCGTCAATAGTACAGAGATGAAACAACTAAGCGGACTGATAAAGAACAGCATCGAAACAAATGACAGAATTAAATCGTGCCTCTCACCAACAATCTTAGTCGTTTCGTCGTACAAAAATATATAAGTAGCATACTGGGAAAAAAAAATACTTAAAGATTTATTTGTGGAATGTAAAGCTTATTTCTGTGAGATAAATTTTATTTCTCTTCGTATAAAATAAAGTTTATATCCCACAAATAAATTCTCGAGCATTATTTCTCTCGCAGCTAGAACTCGCGAACATGATAAGCGCAGTGCATACGAGGATTAGTTTAACTGGTATCTCTACCTGCAGACAGGAAAATATATATCACGACACCCGCGTATTTGCGGATTGCGTCACTATTGCTATACACGTAGGTAATTTTCAATCTTCTGAAGCGAGATATTGACGAATAATGGTGTTTCAATGAATATTCCATTGATGTCGATTGGTATACAAGCTGAACGAGATCATGGATGGATGATATTACTGCATTTGACGCGCTTAGAGTACTAGCCATCTCGCAAATTCTCCCTTAAGGTGCAAATTCATGTAGCGAATAAATCGCTGCGATTGAAGGTCACGTGGTAATTCGTTGTTCGCTAGCAAATAATTGCTGTTCGCTGAATTTTTTTGCTTTTAGCGAATATTAGCTAAGATAATCATTGTTCACATCTTAACAACATCTATAGGTTCTCTAATGTAATAATGTTTAAATATGTCTGCTCCAAATATGAATATTAAATTTTCAAATTGACTTGCAGACACACACACATACACACATATATATATATATATAATTATGAAATCTTAAGTCTTCTAGAAGAAATTTAGGTAGCATGAAAAAATCCATGCTCTTTTCTATCTTGAAAAATAGGTGCTACCCAATGTTTCTTTCTCGAATATTTTCTTTTCTTATGTAAAAATATAGCCATAACTGCAGCTGCTTTCTTTTTTCGGATATTTTCATAATAATTCATTATTTGCACATAATTTAATAATGTTTGGTTATACCAACCCAGATAGCACACAGATAATTCTAAAAGAATTCAGTCGTATGTCACCAATTCTGAGTTCATTTTTAGATACAAAAAGAATTCTTTTCATTGAATTGAACTTTTTACATCTGAAGAATTCTTTTTACATCTGAAAATGAATTCAAAATTGGTGACATACGACTGAATTCTTTTTGAAATGAATAATTAAATTTTCCTCCATGTTGTTAACACACAACAAATGACGCTCATAAGCTATTTGCGGCGAATTATTCGCTACTCGCTACAAATCATTCGCAGCGAAAAATTCGCTACATGAAAAGGCACCCTTACTGCATTATTATCAATCATATTGCACAACAGTCTGACGAATTGTCTCTCCGCTCTGACTTCGTGGATCTTCCAATAATTACAAAACAATAATCATCGGCACTTGAATTGCATCGATCAAACCACTATTCATATCAATACTGACACTTGCACAAGTTCAAGTCTTCGAAAAATATCACAGACACAGTATGTTATTTCAAGTGATAAATTTCCTCACACGAGTTTGCCAAGAGCAGCCACCGCTTAATTTCCTAAATCTGGCCTCGACAGGTTAAGGACTAAAGAAATGCAGCCCGTTTTACCAAGTGCTTCCTTCTAACCAGCTAAATAAAATTTATCAAATAAAATGGAGTATTTACAAATTTACATGATCACCGAGAGAGGACCGATTTTTCACGTAAGACTAACTCGAACTAGGTCGCAAAAGGAAGGCTCCACGTAAGTTATTCAAATATTATGTTTAACGTAGATAATTATTCGCATACATTACGGCAGACCAAGTCTGCGATAATACAGCACATGATATATTTCGTTCTCTGTTTATCTAACAGGAAGATGAAATTGTTTCGCTGAATTCCTGGACTAACCACTTTATGTCGTAGGCTCTACATGAGCGGTAAAAGTGGCAATTTTTACGTTGAGATAAAATATAGGCGATTCAATGTTTTACGTAAATATATGTTAATGCTTTGAATCAATACCTTTGGATCTGTGCGATATGATGTAACGTTAAGAGGAAATACATCACTGTACCCGTGTGCCTTTACTTTGCTAAAATACTATTATAACTAACTCCTAAATTGAATTCGTAAGTCACATTCGTAGCGTAAGCAATACGCATTTTGTTGACAGTACAATCACGGCCATTCGTTTTAATGGGTAATAATAAAAATCATGTATATTAATATCAAATTCTAATAGAATAATAAATTGTTCCCTATTTTCCTACCTAAACAAAACAACTAGTAATATAGTAGGAGTCAACAACTCAATATCGGGCTAATCTATCCAGATAGAGATACTGAATATAGCATGCAAACATTTAATATATACTTTACAATGCGATTGTAACAGCGCAATGTGTGTTTAAAGTATCCTTGTTTTAAGAACTACTCATTTATTACGTCATAATTTTAATAACAAATATTTATTTTTTATTAGTACAATAATTTCGGATCAATTGCGTTCTCTTTCCGGCAAAATCAGCAATTTTCATGGCATTATATGATGTCAGTTCTTTTATGTATTGAAAAAATTTTCACTACATGAGAACGCATGTTTACTTGCATGCTAATCAATGAGCTGGATAATATGTCATAGTATATCTATCTGGGCAGTTACTAATGTTTTTATACTGTTAAAAATAAGATAAAGACTATGATGACATTTCTATATGCACAGACAGCTTTGATAACAGGAACTAGAATGTATTATCAGACAGCGCTAAAATAAATTGTCGTTGAATAGCTGAATAGTTATCTAGCGACGTGATGAAGTGATCACGACTATAAGTACAACATACGTTAATCTGCCATGAGATGGTCACAAGGAGAATAAGACTTGAATATTTTCGTGTAATTGACCAAAACGAACGTAGTGATTGCGCCTATCAACGACCCGATTTGCGTCGCGACACCAGTATAATAAAGACCTCTCCCCGGGTCAGGCCTGTACAACGTTGTGATGCCCATTTTGACGAATCCTATTAGGCCGCACGCTGCTATCCACACAACAACCACCAATAGTTCACCCTGCCATGAATTTTGCAAGGGAGGATGAGGCGACTTCACGGCTAAATAGCAGATGAAGCCAGATAGTACGAGGACGATCGCCATGAGGGTATTGAGCACCTTAACCGTCGGTGCTTTTATGAAGAAACCTAAGCTCATGGCCAACGGGCCAGCTATGGCAGCGAGCGTGACCGTCAAGTGATACGCGACGGTGCCGTACGGTAGACACGAGTACGACTGTATGCTCGGTAAAGTGCCGTTTCCGAGTAAACAGAGCACAGCCAGCATGACCAGCAAGTAGTAGTACACGTTCTTCGGCATTGTCCAGCCGGTATTAGTCTTGTAGCTCGGTAGTGCCGTCGTGTCAGTCGGCAGAGTTTCCATGCTGCTTGGCAGCTTGACTCTCTCCCCAATCGCAACAGGCAAGACATTCAGACCCAAGAACGAGAGAAAGCTCAGGCACAAGAGAGTACCCATGAGAACGAAAAAGATCTGAGAGGAGAATTTCGGATCGGACGGAACGGTTATGAACTCTACGTGGTCCGAATCTGGTTTAGTGACATTCACGCATTGAGCATTGTGACCCACGCCTTGAATCAACGCGACCGCGCTCGGCACGAATCCGCTGAGTCCTTCTCCGACCAAGTAAGACACCAGATAAATCTCACGATAATTCTTCATGTATGGTATGCAGATCACAGAGCTCGTGCATCCCACCAGCGCTGTCACGAACATCAGCGACAGTAGGGCGGTCGAGTGCTCGTTACCGAACACGAATGACGTGTAACTGTACAGGAAACCCAAGGCAAAGGTGGAGCAGGTTGCAGCAGCCAACAGCACGTAAATGATGTATCTGTCGCACACCCAAATTGAATACCTGAAACAGATATCTTCTATTAATATCTCATTTATGTGTGATTGTGTTCAATTTATTATTGAATATATTGAGCTACGTAACAAATTGGAATAAACACTAGTCTGGTAGAAACTGAGGTAACTTGTATACAAAGACTATTTCTAGGTAGAATCGTTCTTTCTGTCTCGCTAATATGCTATGTCCTATGCATAAATACATAGTCTTATGTTTTGCTCAGATAGTACATGAAAGACATAGACCAGAGTTTCTATTCAGATAATATTATTTTCCTCTCAGTTCAAGGTCACTGAGCAGAAGTAAAAGCAATGCTCGTTCCAATTTCTTATGTAGTTCGATGGTTATGCTTCCATTGATTGAAACTTTAGTTGACTAATCTGTGAATTAACAGTCAAATTTAAGTAGTTATCATATATGCAATCACAAGTGATGTAATCAATTCATGAAATTATTACTGCATAAAATCAATCAATATGCAAGTGCATGATCAATCAAAGATTGCAGAGATTATTTTAGTCAACTAAAGCTTTAATCGACTGATGCTTAACACTGTCCTGATAACACACTGTGAATTACACGAGACATACTTTAGATATAAGGTGTACAGTATCGGTCCCAAATTTGCTATCTGCACCAGCATGACCATGTGTGCAGGTAGACTCCATCCTTCTGGGGCAGTGTCTACTATGAGAGGCAATTGTACGTAGACGCCATTCACGCCGATCCAGGCACCCAGGCCGAACATTAGCGCGAGCAAGTCGACCAGCAAACTTCGGTTACCTAATCGTTGGGTAAGCATCTTGCGTTCTTGCTCAGGAGATTGGTAGCTTTCAATTGTTTCACAGGCTTGATAATTCCACTTATCACTGATCATAAAGCCACTTATTAATGTTCCTCGGCCACTCACTCTGCTTCACCGGGACGATGATAAGGATAAATATTATCGCATAATTACGAAATTACTGTACTGCAGTCTAAGTCCACTGAACAAACGTGTAACTCTAGATAGCTGTGTAAAGAGCGTAATTTAAGTAAGACGAACGATCACCCGTACCCGCGCGGACGATAGTCGACTCCCGTCGAGAAGTTGTTCCGTTTCCTTCACTAAGTCGCGAACATAACCTATACGCGTAGAACGTGCAGTCCGCCGTATGATAGTGATCGCCAGGTGTTTCGTGGCGCACGTGTAGACAGATAAGCGCCAACGGCGATCGATACGGATGATGAAATATTTGCTCGATCGCGTTGGCGATACTCGCTGACACCTTGATTATCGAGAGAGGTATATTTGAACAGTTTGTCGTGCCAGTAATATGGAATAGCTCGTCGACTCGATCGATCCTAGACGAAATTCTCGACGAATGATGTCTCATTTATTCATTTTGCAACTAATCCCTCAACGTTCGGTCAGCACTTTTCATCGGGAAAGGAACAAGAACGCAACGTTCATTGACAGTTCCACGAAGATCAATCAAAATGTCGCAATAGTATTACATATCATTGACATTATTCTCTCGCGAATAAGAAGAAATTAAACGCTCTCTCTCTTTCTCTCTCTCTCTCTCTTAATCCTAGCTTCAGGCGTCCAATAAGAGTTCGCCAGCGCCACTGTTCGTTGAAAAAAGAAGTCTGCTCGTTTTCGAAGAACTTCTGAACCAGTGTACAGTAATACAACAGGTTAGAGTGCGAGAGAAAGTGTACTTGTTTCACTCTAACTTATTGCACTAGTGCAGAATTTTTGGAAACGAACAGATCTGAGATTCAACTTCAATATTTGGCTCCAGGTCTCTCTAAGAGTATTGCCCCAATGCCATTATTCCGATTTATGATATATTTCGAGAGTAAAGTCTTGGAAAATTCCAAAGGCACGTTCCAAAAAATCACAAGGTCCGAACTTGTTCGAACACGTCTTGTCGTGACGGCGGTTATAGGCCGGGACTTAGGGCTATCGCACACAAATTGACATAATTGCATATGTATAGCATAAGATCGTATGGACTAATGAGCATCAAATATTAAGCATCGAACACCAATATGGCGACTTAATACTCGATGCTCATTGGTACATACGGTCTTATGCTATGCATATGCAGTTATGTCAATTTGTGTGCGATATCCCTTACAGACCTGAGATTGAAGACGAGTGTAGCACTGCGCGTCGACGCAAACGAGTGCAATTGAACGATTATTGCGCGCTATCGTTCGCGATTCGATACATCGCGCACGGACGCTTCGATAGCCGCCTCACTTCACGTCTTTCGAATCGCGCTCGGGAGGATTTGCTGCGCGACGCTTTCGACGGACGGACGTATCGTTCGCGAACGCACGGTAACACTGCCACGTATCTTCGACCATCAACTGACGCATCTCGTCGTTACGAAATTACGAGTAGCCTCGTTCGAGTGCCAACTGGTCGTGCATATCAGTTGTGACGACTTTGGGAGACTAAGGAGGGATATCCCCACCAAAGACACCTGTTGAACACGTCGCCGACATGATAGATGGCTGTGGTTTTGGCGGAAAGAAATTTGCAGGAGACGCGTTTCTTCAACGAATTGTCGACTCTGCAAAGAAAAGAACAAATAAGCGATTGCACGTACGTAAAAACCAGTCCGAGCGCTAAAAATATTCGGGAAAGAGACAAATAAAGGACAAGAGATAACTTCTTGTTTCTTTTCTTTTATTTTTTGCAACGTTGTTGCGATTATATTGATTTTTTTATGGACATTCTAATGCAGTAATGTATGTATTCAGACAAGCTAAAAGAAATACACGAGACCATGGCCAAGAGTAAAGTGCTTTTAAAAAATGGATTGCTCCCATCACAATTATATTTTTATATAAGTTGATTTATATTGACTTTAAGTTGAAGTTTATTTATATTGATTTATGTCGACTTTATATAAGTTTATTTGCTCTTGATACATGTCGGTTACGATTTTCTTGCTCGCGAAATAAGATGTCCAGACAAGTTAAAAGAGACTTATATGAGGTCTCTTAAACTGTCTGAAACAAATCATCAGAACACAAAAAGCAATATATGATAATTATTTGCTAGTTATTTGCTTCTTTTTTCTCCAGGAAGCAATTTGTTTGCTGTAGCTATAAAAAAGATACGAGCGGCTAGATATTAAGTTGTCTAGCCACTAGAAATAGCATTTACATACATCACAGCAAAAATCGAATATAACATGAATTTTTTACTAATTTTTTGCTCTTCTTTATTGTGGAAATCTTTAGCTACAGCCAAAAAATTACAAACGGATAAATAGCTTAACAAGAGTAAAGTACTTTTAAAAAGCGGATTGTTCTCATCACAATTATATCGTTATACAACTTGATTTATTTGCTCTCGATATATGTTGATCGTGATATTTTTGCTTGTGAAATAAGATGTCCAGATAAGCTAAAAGAAATACACGAAACCGTGACTACAAGAGTAAAGTTCTCTTAAAAAGTAGATTGTCACAATCTAAAGTAGTAGATCACAATTGCATATATCCGTCCAACATATATCGAGAGCAAATAAATCAACCTATATAAAGATACAATTGTGATGAAAACAATCCATTTTTTAAGAGTACTTTACTTTTGTTAAGTTATCTACCGGTTTATAATTTTTATAGCTGTAGCTAAAAATTTTCTTTCCACAACAAAGAATAGCAAAAAATTTGCAAAAAGTTGATGATATATTCGATTTTTGCTGTGATATATGTAAATACTATTTTTAAATTTTTGGTTGAAAATGCTTGTCCCAATTGAAGTGTGCCAAAAGTAACATTTATTATACTACTGACGGAAGTTAGATCGTGGCTTATCGGTTTATCGATCCAGTTGATAACCGGTGGAGAGGATTGCGTGATAGGATGGCGTGATTGGAATTTTACGAATTGAATACAACAGATTGAATATAGCAAGAACTTTATAAAAGACGAGGCAGACTCACAGATGGTTTAAGTACATTAGTATTTGTCTCAAAACTCTTGAGAGTGTATTTCTTTTTGTTGTTGTTGCGTTCACATTGTTAGTTTTTTTGTTTTTCATTTTGAGTAGAATCACACGGATTGAAAAAAGATTCGCAGAAAATGTGCTGTTGCATTGTGTGCTCGAGAAAGAGTTGTACGGATATATAACATTAATTTAAACGGAGTCCCCGTTGGATGACAGGCGGAAAAAGGAAACGCCGAATTATACTTGACATAAGCTTCTTCGTGTTGCGCCATAGTATCGTTGCCTGTTTTCTTGTTTCGTTTTCCATCATTTTTTATCTTCGGACGATGAATATGCATAAACAATCGGTAGAGGCTCTTATCGCGGCATTTCACGGAAAAGAAAAAGGGTAATCGCGTTGCTCTTTTTCTCTTTCCC